TGTGTCTGGAGACAGGCTAGTCCAAAATTCCTACAGAAACCTGTCTCTGGGTTGTAGGAATGTGCTTACCTCTACATCATGAGCTTGCCTTGCTTTGACTATATTGGTAAAACAGTATCTTTTAAAAAAAGGCTGCCTCTGACAGCTCCATGAGCACAGCCCCGGAGGGTTTTGGTTACTGTGTTTTGGCAGAAGCCATGGTGGCTTGCAGAGACCTGGCTGCTCTGCTGGCAGTGGGGGGCTGCTCCCATCACCATTTGCAGTGCTGGCATCTGCTTTGCTGGCCCAGCTGCTGTGCCGAGGGTGACAGCGGTGAGGAGCTGGAAGCAGGCGTGTGATCTAGGCAGATGTGTGCTGGAGACCGTGCAGACCCTCCTCCTGCGGTCCCTTGGGACCTGTGCTGTGCAGAGGGAGGAGATGGCCTGTTATCTGTCATCCTGCTTTCCTGTGGCCACCAGACTGGCTTTGCATCGTGAGCATCATCTTCACCTTCTCAAATGACTCCAGAGACTCCTGCAGCCTGTGACTCCTGGGGAGGGTCTGCCCTCCTGGGCAGGGGTGCAGCAGTGGCCCCATGCGAGGGCTCAGCAGCATTACCCTGTGAGCAGTTATTACTGTTCCCAGGCAGATCTTTCTCCATTTGTCTGGCTTCTTTCCTTTCACAGGTAGGTGTGATAGAGCCCGTTGTGACCCAGGAAGCACTTGCTGAGCTCCTTGGTTCTTGGGAATTGAAGTCATCATTGACACCGGGGCAGGAGGGAGGCTGGGAGGGGGAGCTGGCGGGAGAGCTCTGACCAGGCTGATGTGATGGAAGGCGACAGCACTTGCAGGGAATCCTTCTGCTCTTTGCTCCACTGAACATTTGCATGAATTACTGCTGTTTTAATTCAGTGTTATTTTGGCCCTGCTCCTGTGTGGCAAGGGCTGAGCTCACCTGCTCTTTCTGTGGCCCCCAAGAATTTATCCGTGGGCTGCTCTTCTTCTGGGGACCAGAAACCTCAGAGGGAGGATGAGCCCTTGCTGTCTTCTCGTGTGGGGCTGACAGATCAAAGAGGGAAGTTTGTCCCCTCCCCAGGTGAACTGCACAGTGTGTGTTAGTGTGCCTGCTGCTGGGACAGAGGTGCCTTTGTATATGAGGTATTTACTACATCATAAATAAGCCATTTGAAGTTGCTCGGGGTGTTACTGAGGGGCTGGCTTCCTTAGCAGCACCCAAACTGACGTGTTTGGGAGCAAGGAATTGGAAATCCCCAGGTATGTGCGACAGGGTGTGTACTGCTCTCCCCATCCAATGTGCTAGACCAGAGCAGTGCTGCCCCTTGGAAGAACCCCTGTAAGGTCCTGAGAGGCTTTTTTGATGAAGGAGGGAGCCAGCAAACTCCCCCCTGTTTGCTTTTACCTGCAGGCCCAGCAGCTGGAAGAAGAGGAAAAAGATGAAAGCAAAGGCAGTGTAGAGAAAGAGCAAAGCAAAAGAACCGAAGCTGCTGAGAGGTACGGTACCAACAGCAGAGGTGTGGATGGCTCTAGCTCCTGATGACTTTCCTGTCTCGTCTGCCCCTGCTCTGGTCACTAACCTGTACAGACATTGCCTGGAGAACACCCTGACGTGCTGCAGCTTCTCACAGACTCTTTCTCACTAAACCTCTCGCTTCTCCTGTCATCTCCTTAGGACTGTCTCAGCAGATTTCAGCTTTGTTTCAGCTTCTGCTGGGGCAGGCAGCAAAACAGCCTGTCTCTCATTTCCTTGTGACTGCCCTAGGTGGGGAGCTGGTTCTGTCTCCCTGTGCTCTGGCCTCCCTGCTCCACCTTGGAGAGCTGCAGCGTGTGGTGTTTATAGATGAATTGTGTCTAAACTCTTAGCCTCCTTGCAGAGTTACATATAATCTGGGGCACTGGGAACCAAGAAGCTGTTGCCTGTGCCAGGAAAACTTGTGAACAGAAGCAGCTGCAGTCCATCTTAATGACTGCCTGCATGCACTTGGGATTCGCAGCCTTGTTCTTGGAGGAGCTGTTCATGTGAAGGTCCCTGAAAACGTGTTGTGCCCACAGGATGTGTTTCCTTATCGCTTGGTACCTGCTTCCCAGCTGTGCATCCTCTTTCTCTCTGCCTGTGAAGCTAGCTCGCCCTTGCCTTGTCTCTCTTCTCTGTATTTCCAAGATGAAGTAGGACTGTAGATGTACACATGCCTGCCAATATTCCCAGCTGTAATTTGGACAGCACTGTGAGTATTGCCAATAGGGCTGATTTATCTTGGGAAGATTCTTGACATACTTGGAAAGAGAGGGGGATAATCCAGGGAAAGGATTCACCATTTTGAGACTGATGCCCCTTCGACCCTCAGCTGCCTGTTAGCCTGGCAGAGCTTGAGGTGGTGGGAATGGTTTGGAGCTTTGCTGTGCCTCTGGCAGCCCCATGTTGGACAAACGGGTCCTGTTGGCAGGCATGGCTTGGTGCCCATCGCTGTCAGCTGCACATCCCACCCTGTGCCTCGTCTACCTGCAGCAGCTGCTGGGATGTAGCTTGTGCTAATCTGCTCTTCTGTTGCCTTTTTTTTGTGCTGCAAAGCGAGAGGGATCAGAGTGCTTCTGAAACACCAGAAGAGAAGTGTTTTGCTTTAGAAAATGCCGCTCAGGAGGAGGCTGTGGTGCAGGAGCCAGAGGAGGGATCACTGGAAAGCCTGGTGGATCTGGAGGAGCTTGCTGCACCGCAGAAAGCGTAAGGGCTGTGTTTGAGTCCCTGGTGTTGTAAGCATGACAGCATTTGTCCTTTTGTTCCCCTCTGTGGTGTTTGAAGCAAGTGCGTGCTGCCAGCGTGGTAGGAGATGGGGTTTGGTGGGTACAGCAGAGCTTGAGCATCTCCGCGTGCCGATCCAAGCAGCTGTTCCGCTGGCGAGAGCCAAGCGAGCAGTCTGGGCTGGGGAGGGGGTGAACAGCCACGCAGCCCTTTGGCACAGGACTCTGGTATGGAGAAAGAGCTGTCTGCTTTGTACTCGGAAAAGCCGCCTCCTTGCCAGTGTCACTAACAAGGCTCGAAGCATTCGCACTCCTTTGATAAATGCCTTCACACAGACTCGAGTCCACTTGCTGAGATGGGAGAACAACAAACACCCAAGAAATGACCCCATTTTTACCATCACTGGGAATATTGGCTGCTTTGAGAGAATAAGGTCAGGGCGCAGAGCTGGGCTCCCTGTAGAAGCCAGTGGTGTGATGCTGTACTGAATCGATGGTCTCTGCCGATGTGTACCCACAGTTCCCTTGCGATGGGAGATCTCGGTATAAGTGATTGTGCTGACTTTGCTTTCTACATCAAATGGCAGATCAGCAGAGGTAATTGGAAAAAATAGGCAGCATGTCTCTCAGGACAAAGTAGTGGAGAAGCAATCTTTGCTGTAGAGACCAGCACAGTGTCTCCCTTTTTCTATTAGGAATTGTGTTGTGTCAATGTGTGTGTGGCTGGGTCTCTTTTGAAGCAGGAACTGGGGCAAAAGGAAGAACAGGATAAAAAAGTGTCTGAATTGCTTTGTGGAGCAGCCTGATAAAGGACATCTTCTGGAGGCATCTCTGCAGTTGGCCCAGAGCATGTAGCATTATGGGGAGGGCACTAGAAGTGGGATTTTTTGAGAAGCCAGCTACTTTCCTCTGTCTTGTTCTTTTTGCTAATGGCTGTGTAAGTGACCTTTTCTCTTTGATGCAAGGCTATATTACTGGGGCTGTTATTTTCCTGATTCCTGGCAAAGCAGAAGTCCCTCTGCCTTACGGTAGCAGTCTCAGAGCACAATGAGACCTTGCTGCTCCAGCTTTCCCTAGCAAAGAATAAAAATTCTGTTCCTAGACTAATCTTCATTTTTCCTTCCTTCCCCTTCAGCCTCTCTCAGACCTTATAATTTTGCTGCTCTCTGTCTGAAAAAACTTAATTAGAAACAGATTGGGTTTGAGTTTTTGGAGTGCTTAGGGCTTTTTGTTGCCTAGAGCTGGCAAACTCCCAGCACATTTTAGATTGCAATTGCAGAAAAATACCTGGTCCGTGAGAAGCGTGCTGCCAAGCCCTGGGCTGGGGTCGGGTACTGATTGCATCTGCCGTTCTGCCCGGCAGCCCAGCTAGGGCTTCGTGGCTGCTAGATCCTTTGTGAAACAAGGCTGTGGCGTCCTTGCAAGGTGAGCTGTAGTGGGCCAAAATAAGTTATTTGGGATGTGGGTCCTGCTAGGGCTGGGTTTGTTTTTCAGCTGGATGTCAATGAGAGCTCCCAGCAGCAGTGCCTGGGGCATCCCCAAGCTGTTACCTGAAATAACATGCTACACAAAACCCTGAGCATGTGCCACGTGTTCCCCAACAGCCTTGTAAAGAGTTTGCCTGTAACAAGCCTGTTTTCTGTCCATGTGCCCTCCACCCCACTGCACTGCTGTTCCTTGCCTCCCGTGTGCTGAGCAGCTCGGGCTCCCCAGCAGCCTGCGAGCGGCTGCACGGGGGATTCTGCCGGTCCTTTCCCTCTGTCGACAGCGAAGCTTATACAGTGGGTGGCTCTGAGATTTTTTTTGTTTTGGTTTGGAGTTGATACTGTTTGGGGAGATGTTCCTATTCCTTTCAAGTTACTCATTTTCCTGTCACCCTTTTGCCAAAGGAGCTTATTCTTTTTGTAGGCAACCTGAGAAGGAAATCGAACATGAGCAGTCCTTGAAGCAGCCCAGTGAAAAATCCCTGGAGGGAAAAGCCAAGGAGATGGAGCTCAAGCAAGAGAAAATGCATGTATTGCAAACAAAGAAGGAGAAAATTCAGCATTTCCAGGAGGAGAGGAGGCAGCAGGAGGAGGAGGAAGCTCAGAAGCTTCGTCAGCAAAAAGAAGAATCCCTCAGGTACTTTCCCTTTTTACTCCATCTCCCCTTATTTCTCCTCTGAGCCTTTCCTAGCTGCAATTTCATTGCCCCAGGCTTGTGCTGTTATAGGCCACCCCCTTGCAAAGAGCACTGTTTCCAGAGCTGTGGGCAAAGGGGGCAAGAACAAGGCTTTTGGGGGGAGGAGGAGTATGGGGGTGTCTACTTGGCACCCCAGCAGATGTGTGGAGAGCACGGTCTGCCCAGGACAGTGCTCCCCAGTGCGGACGAGCGTTTTCCTGTGTCCTGCAGGATGAGCTCTGAGTTGGTGTGCACACAGCTTTTGGAGCTCTTGAACCTGTGTCTTATGGCTAACCTGGGAAAAGTTTCCAGTGCGGTGCGTGGAGCTTTACCGCCTGGCAGGCGTTCAAATCCTGGGCTGAACGTAGTAACAGGACTGCAAATGGGAGCATTAGAGGAGATGGCGTTACCCCAGAGGAACTGTTTGGAGCTCTGGTACTGTATGTTTTACAGAGGGACTTCCAAAGAAGGCTTTAAGGAATAGGACACGGATGTCTGAGAAACCCAGCCAGTGTAGGGGGCTCTAATGGCAGTCCAGGGGGTGGAACAGCTCTGGGAGCCCTGTCCTCTCTCTGGGGTCCTTTTCTCTCAAGGCTTGTACTTGATTTCAGGTGGCCCTTTCTCTTTTTTTTCTCTTTTCTGGCTGCTCATTTCTCAGGACTCTAAAAGAAGATTTGGCAAAGGTTTCTGAGGAGGAAGAGCTGCGTGTCAGAGCGGAAGCAGCTGAGACACTCTCCAAGCTGCAAGCCAAAATCGCCTCGGAGACGGAGGCAGAGAAGGAGAAGATAAGGTGAAAAGTTCTGTTGCAGCTCATAGGGAGCTGCCATCCCTGGGGACACACTCTGGTTTGGGAGGGAAGCACCTTGCATCCCACCAGGAACTGCTCTGAGTGGAGGTACCTCCTGAGCCTCCCCCGGCTGGTCCCCTGCCTGGGTGGCACGCCCGAGGCCCCAGCTGTGATGCTGTGGGTGCTGGGGAGGACACAGCTCTGCTGCTGCTGCCTACTTAGCACCATTTCATCAGCTCCAAGGCAGTCCACCTGATTGCTTTGTTGTTTTTCCAAGGCCTTAGTTGATGTGTTTGTGAATCTGCGTGCTGTGGTTCTTGCTTTCTTCTGGCTTCCATGTCCTGTCCGGTGGCAGTGTCTTCTCTCGGCTCTGAGTCCCAGATGGAGTCCAGTGGGAAAGGATGGAATTTTGACTTGCTTCTCTCTGTTGCAAACCTTCCAGGGCAGAGCAAGAGGTGACACTGCGGAAGCTAAGAGAGGAGTGGGAATCCCAGCAGGTAACGGAGAAGGAAAGCCTGGAGAGGGAGCGGCAGCTTGCAATGGAGAAAATGAGGCTGGAAATGGAGGAAGCTCAGCAGAAGGAGAAGATCAGGCTGGAACAAGAGAAGGAACAGTTCCTGAGTGAGCTCAAGGAGAGAGCAGAGAGGGAACAGAAGAAGGTGAGTTGTTTATCTCTAGCTGGGGTCAGAGCCGTGCTGTTGGTTCTGGCCTGCCTTGCATTGCAGTGCTAAACTGTGGAGATTAACACCTGTGTGTGCCTTAATGATGACTCCTCGGGAACATAGAGAGATGTGAAGCATGATTGGGCTGGGGAGGGGTACTCTCCGGTTTGTATGACAGTGGTGATTAAATAAGAATGACTTAAATGGCCACACTGCGTCTGAAGAAAAGAGAAAGACCACTGTGTGTCTCTGCAAAGCAAGCCCAGCCACTTGTCAGATCAGAATGCTTCTGGCTCTGCTTGAGTCCTCCAGAGAGCCTGGGAGCTCTTGACAGGAGGCAGGTCATCATCCTTCCAGCACAGCGTGGATTGAGACCCCTCGATCTCCTGGGAGGGAAAGCACCTTGTATGTAGTCCAGTTTGGAAGGGGTTTATCATTGTCCCTTTTTGATGCGTATGGATAGATGTTAATAGCAAATGCATCTAGCACAGCATGTCCCACACATAGAGGTTTTCCAGCAGGCTGTCTTACTCATGTTCCTGTAGGCAGTAGAAGAGCTAGAGAAACAGTTTGCAAATGAACTCCAGCAGCTGAAATCAGCAGCAGAAGAGAAGCATCATAAGGTAAAAGTTGATGCCCTTACAATGTAAATTTTATTCCTCACGCTGTCACCAAAAGTGACCAGGGAGGGTGGCATTAGTTTTTTTCCACTTCCTAAATGTGGTTCTGGTCTGGCTCAGCACTTGGACAGGCTCCAAGTAGGGGGTGGTGAGACTGCACATGCTGGGCTCTGCTATGCTGCTTGCTCTCTGGAGGAGGGCACTAAATGGATCTTGTCGGAAGGGTGACAAGTCTCTGTGGGTGGCTTTCATGGCAGGTCATTTCCAGCCTGCAAACCCAGATAGCAGAGGCACAGAGGAGTGAGGAGGCTCAGCTGCGTGATGACTTGCGGAGAGCAGAGCAGAAAGTGCAGCAAAAAGCATTTCAAGTGACAGAATATGAACACGAGGCAAGTAGTCACCTGGGATTGCTGAAGGTTCTTCACCCTCTCTCCTTGGAGGCATGGGGAGGTCAGAGATCCCTGAGGGTGACAGTGAAGGGGAAGGCTCATCCCTGCAGCATCTCGCCTCCCCGGGGTGCTTGCTTTGTGCTCCCCAGGCCACAGCAGGTGCTCTGAACTACAGTCCTTCTGCTCATGTCAGAAGCTGCTGTCCTGGGGCCCCGCAGTGCCATGCTGTGGTTCAGGGAAACATCTTCCCATGTCGTCCCTGCAGCTCAGCGAGCTCCTGAGAGAGAAACGCCAGGACGTGCAAAAAGACCATGAGAGGAAAATGGAGAGGATGAAAAAGGAGCACCAGGAAGTCCTGGCACGCATTCGGGATCAGTACGAGGAGGAGGTACTGCAGGGGGAGAGCGCTGAATTCTGGAGGTGGCTGTAGACCTGCCTGGCTCAGCTGCTCCTGGAACTGGAGATCTCCCATCTTCTAGGAGAATGGGGCATCACCGCTGTCATGTAAAGGGGATTTAGGCTGGTGTTACAAGGAAAAGCTGAAAAAAGTATTCTCTGTGCGGTCAACTTCCACATGCATTTGTGGACTCCTGTACTAGAGATGATTGTTCATGTGTTGGTGTGCTGCTGTGTGATGGGCTGGCTTTCCGGAGGATGTGTGTCCTGTATGTTCCTGTTGGCTTGCTGGAGAACCCTGTGCTTCCCTCAGCCACTCAGCTTCTTTGCGTTTTGCAACAAACAGGAGAGAAAGCAGAGAGCGGAGCTGTTAGAAGGCCTGCGCAGCGAGATGCTGCGCCTGCGGCAGCTCCACGAAGCGGAGGTGAAGGCTCTGCAGGCAGAGCTGGGTGAGCAGCTGACCGACTTGCAGCGCAAGCACAGGGAGAAGGTGAGGAGAAGGCTTTGCCCAGCAGTCTGCTGTGATATAGCTGCTTGGGGATGGCCTGGGCACGGTGACACCTCTGTGTGCCTGCCACCCTCTGCAGCCCTGCGTGACACAAGTGGCAGGTCACATTTGCCCAGTTTTTGTTGTTCTTCCAAAGCTCTGTGCAGTGAGTGAGGAGGAACTTGTGGTGTTCTCTCTAACTCAGCATCTCTGTGCAGGAAAGAAAACTCAAGGATTCAGAGAATGATCTTGAAATACGCACAAAGAACCTCCAAGCCAGATCAGCGCAGCTCCAGAGCCAGGTGAGTCAGGCTCGCAGCGGCTCCCCGGCCAGGGCTTCTGCTGCCATCCAAGCTAGAGGTAAAACCGCGGTCCCAAGCAGCGCTGGAGCGCGGAAGTAAAAAGGTGGAGAAATGCTGGAGGTAACCAGAGGCTTGACAAAAGATCCTGCAGGAATGGCCATGTGCCTGGAATACTCCCAGCTGAGCAGGAAGGGGTGTTCTTCCCACAGGAATGGAAATATTCCCAGCTTCTCGCTGGAAGCCAAATAAAGGGAGGGCAACTTGAGGGTGTGTGGGGAGGGGATAAAGCAGAACTGACACAGTGCTCAGGTGTTTTGATATGAGACTCAGGCCTGACCTCTGTACACTTGAGGTGTCGGTGGCAGCAGTGTCCTTGCTGTGGCACTCACCTGCCTTCTCATCTGTGCACAGGAGGAGTCTCTGAGGAAGAAAAGGCAGCAGCTGCTGGATGAAGACCGACAGACTGAGCTAGAAAGAGATGTATGTATGCCCTGGCTGTGGAGAGGTGCTGTGCTGCTGCTCTTCGGGGGATGAGGGGAGCTTGCTAGAACAATGGCTTCACAAAAGTGAAATGTTGCTTCTAAATTATGAGTCTGACCATCTCTCCCTGCCTCCATCGGGAGTGCCATCCTGCTGGGAGTGGGACTAGCTCTGAGCTGCTTCCCAAAAAGGAGAGACAGTCTTGTTCTCCCAGGAGTGGTGTGTGGTGTGCGTGTTTCCAGCTCCGGGACCTCCTGCAAACTGTGCAAGCACCAAGTCTCTTGTATGTTGTGTGCTTTCATTTTGCTGTTGGGGAAGTTACCATGAGGGATTTGTTTTTCCTCTAGGAGGCTGCTTTAGCCTCTCAGCAGCGCCTGGAGGAGAGCAGGAAGGAGCATGCCAGCCTCCTCAAGTCTGTCCGGCAGCTGCGCAGGTCTCTGGAAGAGCTGCAGGACCAGAAGGCTGAGCTGGAGGCCCAGGTGGGCTTGCTGCAGACCCGAAGCCAGAAGCTGCAGAAACGCATCAGGTGTGTACATGAGACATTGTCTCTGATGCAAAGAATCTCCCCTGTCCCCCTAACCAAAACCTCTCTAACCTAACCTGGGCTTCTCTCACCTCTGAGCTGCTTGGGTGTTGGGCTGTATTCCTCCAGAATCCTCAGGGGATTCTGCTTGTCAGGTTCATTTTTCTCCGCATCAGTCTTGTGAAGTTAATCAGGTGCTTTGACAGGGGCAGTGAAATAAAAATAAAATTTGTCCTAAGATAGCTGAGCTTCTGGGTCAGGGCATGAAGCACTGTTTCGTTGCCCAGCTGGGGGCTGTGTTTGATATCACAGCACAGAGCTGATACTGGGTCTTGCACATCGGTGGCCCTTTCCGTTAGAGAGGTTACTGGGCTGGATGGACCTGCAGTCTAACCAAGTGCTGCTGCTGTTGCCTTTTCCTGGGGCAGTGAGCTGGAGGCAGCTGTCCAGAGCAAACAGGAGACTTTGAAAGAACTGGAGGCAGAAGAAAGTGTGGCATCTCCAAGAAAGCAAGCTGAGGTCCATGTTGAGAACCCAAGAGAAACAAATCAAGCTGTGAGTAAAGCAGACTAAAGGAGTTTGCCTTGAGATCTGGGGCTGTAAGTCCCCTGAAAATCCCAGCTTCTGTTCCTTCTGTGTGAACTAGTTGGAGATGCAGTGATGCATTTTTTCCTTGCCAGAGGACATCAGTATGGTTAGCAGTATTTGTTGAATCTGTCTCTTACTGGGGGGGAAAGGAGGGTGGGGATACCTAAGTGTTCTTGGGGTCAAAAGCAGAGCTTCTGTTGGGTAGAAATGTCTTTGTTACTTTTTAAAAGTCACACAGCATCCGTGGCGCTGGGCTTGGATCTAGGCAATGTTATGGCCATGTGATTCTGAATTTTTGCTCCCAAGAGGATTCTTAGAGGGTCCTGGGGTTCTATTTCCCATACATATTTCTTAGTTTTTGCCATGTTTCAACTCCTTAGCACTTGTCCAGAGAGCCTGCTTCTCCACCCTCTCCAAGCCAGGAGGACAGCGACTTCCAGTTGGAGCAGTGAGTATCTGCATGCCAGCTGTTTCAGGGTGATGACTTTGCTTGGGTTTGCATGCAGTGCGGGGACAAGCTGTTCTTCGGGAGAGTATGTTTTTGAGGAGGGGTGCCACGTGAGGCTTGCAGGATGGCACAGCCAGGAGCCTGCCTGTCTATTTGTGTAGTTTCAGGAGCTACATCTCTGCAGAAGGGACCTCCATCAGGAATACCAAGGAGTTCCTGGTGCACCAGATCCACTCCATTAGGAAGAGGCGCACGGCGCTGAAAGCTGCGAAGCAGCAGTGGCGCCAGGACGTGCAGAGAGCACAGGAGGTGGTGCAGGATCCCAGCAGCTCCCAGCTCCTGGAGGGGGTGCGCAGGAACCTGGAAGAGGTGGGCATTGCACGGCAGAGTAGTTCCAGTTGTGTTTTGCTGTGCGTGTGCTTTGGACTAGGAAGGATTTATGAAGCTGTCGCTGCAGCACAACCAGTAGTTTGCTAGATTGTAGGAGCTGGATTGTTAGCTGTGGCTCTGGGGACCATTAAAAATGGAGGAAAAGTATTTAGTAGGGGAAAAAGGGATTCCTGTGTCATGCAAATCCTGTAATGCTTTCTCCTTATATCAAGGGAAGCGACAGTGTTTATCCCATCAGTTGGGTCAAGTTTGTGGTTGTAGCTCCCCAGTGCTTTCACTCTTGCTTGGAAAGGGGTTCTCGGGTACTTGCCAGCTCTGCGTATATGCCAGCCAAAGGCAGGGCAGGTCATCATTCCCTCTGCTGATGGTGGAGAGCATTCTTGTTCAGAGATCCAAAGCTGTTGACCCTGTTGAGTGCAGGGTTTGGAAGTGGAACCCCCTTTTCCTTGGGGTGAACTTGATTTGGAGCATTTGCTTGCCCTCTGTATGCTCCACTTCCCATGCTCTCAAAGTCTGGGGAGCAATTTTCCTCCAGCAGAGTGATTTCCTGTGCTGACTTGAAGTGAGATAATGAAAGTCCCCATGACCATTATTGTAGATGACTTCCTGTCATTCCTGTTTGATTTTCTTCCTTGGCTTGGCTGTTGATCCACCGCAGGAAGCGAAGCAGTTGGACAAGATGAAGTCAGCTGTGCAGAAAGGACAGGTGCTGCTGAAGAAGAAAGAAGAGAAGCTCAGCCAGCTGAAGTCCTCGCTGCTGGAGGAGGTAACCAGAGCCCAGAGGAAAGGAGGGCAGGTCACCTCGTGTGAGCTGGGGTCGAGTCTGCTTTCCTGGCCGAGGAGAGCCTTGGGGTCTGTTCAGCTCTGCCTGGGACCACATGGCCTTAGGGAAGCAGTAGATGCAAGAGCACGAGATCTTTGATGGCCAAGCACTTGTCCTTGGTGCAAAGCCCATGCAAGCGTGTTTGAGGCTTATTTAAGGCACAAAACGCTTTGACTTCTGCCTAAAAGGGCCCATTCACATGACTGGTAGAGTTGGCCTCTAACGCATGCTCTTCTAGAGACCAAGCGGTGTCTTGACTTTCAGATTTTGCTGTTGGGGACTGAATATGAGTTTGCCCTCACTGGGCCTGTGCCCGACTACAGTCCAGCCTGTATAAACCAGCTGTAGGCAGCATTCCAGAGGATTTTATGTTTTGGGGACAGATCAGCAGGTTTTATTTGCTTTGTTTTCCCTCTTTTTGACCAGCTTTCAGATGAAGATACCCTGAAGAGTGCTGCATGCAAGAAGATGGTGACTTTTGATCTCAGTGACTCTGAGGACACTAGCAGCACATCCAGTGTAAATCTACATCAGCCCAAGCGTGAGTGCCTGACTGCCTTGGTCTGCTGTGCCCGGCGCTTTAGACCTAGCGCTGGCTTTCTGATGAGGTCCAACTTGGAGGGGTGGAGCAGGGAGGTGAAACACGTGCTAACACACATCCAGGCTGGTCCTGCAGGCCTCCTTCTTGCAGTGTTGGATCTTGTCCTTTCTGTCTGATGTCTCCTCCACTTTGTGCCTCCTGCCAGAGAGGCAGTGTCTCCCTTGCCTTCCTGGTGATCCCTTTTTTTTTTTCCCCCCTCTCTTCTGCCAGTTGATTTGAGAAGCAATTTACAGCCTGCCCCCCAGCTGGACAAGTTCCAGTACTTGACAGTCTCTCTGCGGCGTATCACTAATGAACTGAATGGGGTCCTCGGCATCCTGGGCTCTCTGAACAATCGCCAGTCTCCGCTCTTCACCTCAACGCTTCATGACAGCATCCCTCTTTCTATGTATGCCTCTGTGGCAGGACTTCAGGCAGGGGGGTCCCAGGTGCCCCCCGCCAGGGGGTCTCTGGTGGACCAGTGTCCCTGGAGCAGCAGGCTGAGCTCTAATAGCTCTGTCCCAGCTGGACAGTCAGTGGACAGCATCCTGGCAGAGAAGTGGCGTGGGTATTTCCCAGGTAAGGCTCCTGTCTCTAATCCATCTGCTGGCATGCCTACAGCTGTTGATCTGCAGGTGCTACTCGGCTTGCTCTGCTGGGGCTGGTGAGGCCAGATCCACTGGTGTGGCTGTTGGGAAGGGTGCTGATGAGAGAAAGAACAAGAAAACCTCATTGTGGGAGGTGCAGTGTATGGCTGGTCTTGTCATCCCTCTTCTGGGGCAGTTCAGCCTCTAACACACCCCAGAAAGCAGTTAGTAAAGCAGGGAGCAAAAGAGGAGCCAGCCCTGCTTCACTGGAGGCTCCCTGGGAACTGCAGATAGGGCTCATCGTGTCCCTTTCCTTAGTGCCACTGTGTCCTTGGCAGGAGGCTCAGCTTGTAGGGGCAGTGTATCCACAGTACAAGGGAGCAAATGCTCCCAGATGTAGAGACTTTGGATTTTGGGGGCCCCTGTATTTAATGTCTGTTTTCCAGGTGGGTTCCCATTGCTCGGTGACAGTTCCAAGCCTCTGGACAACAAGCTGGGATATGTATCTGCAGGGTAAGGGTCTCTCCTTGAGCTGTTGTTTCATTCTGCTTCTTTTAGTTCTCCAGAATGATTTACAGGTCACATCTTGTGTAACAAGTAGGTAACAGAACCAAAAGCTAGATGCTGTTTAGTAGCAGAGTTAATACTGCTAGTTACTCACTGCCAGATGCTCAGTGCTGCCTGGTACCTTCTGCAGTGAAGCTGCTGTTGTGGCTGTGCTGGTAACATCCCTCCAGGAGCAGGGTATGAGGGTGACCGGCTGTGACAGGCAATGCTGCCCGGGTGGCTGGGGTGGAGGCTGCCACCCAAACCCTCCTGGTGCCACACAGACAAAAAGGAGGATAGCAGCCTGATAGTGGGGGGCTGCTGCAGCTTTTCTCTGGTTGGGGCAGAGGACTTTGAGCCAGGAAGAGGCTTTTTGTTAACTGCAGCTCTGTCTTTGTCACTTCTGGGATAATTTCTGCCTAGAACTCTT